CATTAATCAAAGGCCTGCACCACCAGGCTCTCAGAGAGTGGGGGATTGGCGCCGGTCAAATCTCTGGTTAGAATTTAAATTATTAGTAAATGGTTTTGACAACTTATATTTGGGTGCCAGGGCAGTTGTGGTGCTTGTCTAACAAAAAAGAAATAAAAACTAAAAAAAGTTATGGTGGGGAAAAATTGTGATTGAAAACCCCTTCCACCTATAGTCTGTGGATAGTCAATACAATGTTATACAAAAATCTGCACACCAGTCAAGCCATAAAACTTGCTTTTCAATTTTTGATTTTTGTGGGAAAAGCAAGTCTTATGGCTTGACTGGTGTGCAGATTTTTGTTTAACATTGTATTGACTAAAATAAATAAAATAATAATAATAAAAAAAAAAATATATATATATATATATATCTATTACACATACCAACAGAGTTGTGTTGGGGGAAGAAGTGTGGATGAAAACCCCTTCCAAGTAAGTAGATAGTTAATATAAAAATATATATACACACACTCTCTCAATACTAACTTTTGAGGTTACTGAATTTTCTGGAATCATTAGGTTTTGCAGCTTCTGCAGTGGGATTTGACAAAACAAAAAAAATGATTTGGCCAATCATGATTTGTACAATACAGGTACTGCACGTTCAGGCTTCATAGTAAAGGAACACTATAGTGATTGGAATACAAACCATTGAGTGTTGCAGTAACCATTTAGATATCATACCCAAACAAATGTATCTCTATGGCGGTGTGTAGTGGTGAATGTTAGTCCTGCATGACTAAACTCCGGAATCCTATTAGTGACTGTCCAAGGTCTTAGGCAGCAGTGTAAACACTACCTTTTCTCTGAAAAGGCAGTATTTACAAAGCTCAACATGTAGGGACAGGCTGCATGTCCCAGAAGCTGTAGTGGTTCTGGTTCCTATAGCGTCCCTTTAAAAAACACACACCTTTAGGTAGGTTGGGTAGCACGGGGTATCTGCAATCCTGAAACGGACACAGGACTACATCTTCTACTATCGGTCTGAAGCCGATGATGCATGTTGAAACACTGTAGATAGTGTCACAATTTTACAGCAGGGTTTTTAAAAACCACATGCTTTTATGCTAATCTCACTTCACAACATAAACTGACCACAATGCAGATACAACAACCGCAATGTTTAAACATTTTACATTTACTCCGTCTTAATCCCCAGGGGAGGGCCGTTTGACTAATAAAGAAAGTAATAAGAAAACACTTATGTTAAACTACTTCATTCGCAGAGACTAGACTAATCCTTCAATTTAAAGGAACTTTATTTTCTCTCTATAAGGAAGCATTGGGGTAAAAATTGATCTAATTATTAATGCATTTAAAGCAACAGAAATTCTTTATCTGATGGGCTGGGTGCTACTCAGATTCTTATGATGCCACAAACATGACAAGTGCACAATGTGAGCAACTTGAAGCTAACCGGCATTTTATGTCTAATGGGTGAGTGCTTCTGATTTTTTATTAAGCACACTTTGCTTTGGTGATTGTTAAACCAGCAGGTTACTGACAGATGCTCTCCAATAGAGAATGTTTAATGCAGAAACACTTCAAGATATCCTAGATCCAATGGTCTCTTTTCCAGTTTAATAAGAGGATGGAATCAAGATGCAAGATAATGTATTTTCATGATGATATTCTTATTGTTTATGCTTAGAGCATCCTTTTATTATAAACTAGAAAAGCTACAATTTCTGGGGAAATTGTGTAAAGTGTTCTTGCCTCCACCAGTAGTCAACAACTGGAGTGGGCGGAGTAACTGGGTGGAGTGGCTGGAGTAACTGTGGAAAGGTTGGAGTGTGGTTCACTCACTCTACAGCAAGGGCAGAGAGGAGCTTTCAAATCCCTTGAACATTCCACCAATAGTGATGTCCCGAACGGTTCGCCGCGAACAGTCAGCAGACACATTCCAGCCAATCAGCAGCAGACCCTCCCTCCCTGGCCCTCCCTCCTCCTGGACAGCTCACTTAGAATGTAGCTTCACAATGAATGTAAAATGGATGCTGTCCAGGAGGTGGGAGGGTCTGCTGCTGATTGGCTGGAATGTGCCTGCTGACTGTGAGGTACAGGGTCAAAGTTTACTCAATGATGACATAGGGGGCGGACCGAACAGCGCATATGTTCGCCGTCCGTGGCAAACCGTTCGGGACATCACTATCCACCAACTACCAACAGGAACTAATAGATTTCAAATAGGGCAGAGAAGAGCGGTTAAAAACAAACAGCTCCACATTGCTCACTTAACTGGCGGTTGCCATCTTCAAACTGTCATATTTATAAATCTTACAGCAAAGAGCTTTATATTGTGAGAATCACAAGACCCAGACCTACATTTTGATACATAGTATGTCTCTGAAATATTAAAATTAAAGGCACAGTCGCAATTTAGATATTGCACTTCAAATTTGAGGTGGCTAGAGTGGAGTTTCAATGAATGTCAATGGACGGCGTGAGTTGCAAACAAATGGTCATATTGTGAAAACTATCAGGACTATGGCTTAGCCGTGGACATTTTTAGTGGCAGCAGGGATAGCTGAACGTTTTGATATAAGATTTGTGTAGGTGGGCTTGAAAATGAGGGAGTGGTGGCAGTTTAGAAATCATGTCCTGATTTTTCAGCTTTTGCCAGCTCCCACTCTAGTTTTGAACATTTCAACATTCATTCCTATGGGACCAATTTTGCCACAAAAACGACGATATTTCGTGAACCATTTGGCAAAATGTTCCACAAAGTAATAGCACACCAATCAGGAACAATCTGCACGTTTCAGTATATTACTGTCTATGTAGTGTAAAAACTGTGGGAGGAGTTAGGGTGGTAAATTTGTCTAGAATAAGAATATATATGTGAGATATTAAATGGTCTTGCTATGCAAGAACACTTAATAAACACAAAAAAAAATTTTCACCAGCCCTCTGCCTTTCCCCAGTGATGTCACAGAGGAGGCATGGCCTCCTCTGCAATGGTCAATTGGGACCTAATGCGCATGCACAGCAAGCACTGTGCATTCAAACTTTTCCACAAGAAAGCAATGAATCAATGCTTGCCTATGGAGCATCTGTGTCACGTGACCGGGTTTTACTCTGTTAGCGCAGTGGAAGCACCGCTAGTGCCAGTTATAGGGACATTTGGAAGAGGGTTTATCCGTGCAATGTAAACATTGTAAGTTCTTGGACTGCAAAGTTTTGCATTGCAGGGTTAAGCTGACTAGAGTGTCCCTTTTAACCCCTTAAGAACCAAACTTCTGGAATAAAAGGGAATCATGACATGTCACACATGTCGTGTCCTTAAGGGGTTAAAAGATGTTTGAAGAATATTGCATGCAAACAGTCAGTATCACAAGTTCTCATCTGAAAATCTTAACAATATGCCTCAATTTACTCCATGACCTTCACCTTGTATATCTTGAATTACCTGCCTTTTACTCATGTTACAGGCCGTGATCTAGCTACCTCACAATACTGCAATATACACTGTGCTCGCAAGTGTCGAAGCATGGCCTTTTCTGAGCACCGCATTCCACCCTTTGTTATATTCATGCACCTATCTGTTAAAATGCCAAGAATGTCTGCTAACTTGGAGGAAAACACCTTTTCTATATATAAAAAAAAAAAATCCAGAGCTGGTAATGACAGTACTTTTGAGAGGTAAAGAATATTTATAACACTGCTGAGGCTGGGTACTATTTTTATATTAGCCTTTTTAGCGCAAAAATAAAAATCTGAACACAAGTTGTGTTAAAGAGATCATTAGTTGAATTTGCCTTTACTTTTTCTTCTCAGTATCGAACCATAAAATCACTGTATACATGTGATCACATTGTTGTTAACATTTTGTTTGTGGTCTTGGGTCTCATTGGGACTGCAATTACATGTAAGAAGGATGAAGATGCCTTGTGGTATTCCCTGACTGCTGATAAAGCTATGCCTAATGTTACAAAACAAAAATACCTATGGTCAAGGGCCTTTCTGTGTTTCACGTCTGTTACTTGCTTGTAAAAGAATTTAATTCTTAAAGGATGTATTTACGTGAGGTGATATGAATTAGGCTACCCAAGTTTTTAAAGGACCACTATAGGCACCCAGACCACTTCAGCTCAATTAAGTGGTCTGGGTGCCAGGTCCCTCGAGGGTTAACCCTGCAGCTGTAAACATAGCAGTTTCCAAGAAACTATGTTTACAGTAGGGTTAATCCAGCCTCTAGTGGCTGTCTCATTGACAGCCGCTAGAGGCGCTTCTCACTGATTTTCACAGTGAGAAGACGCCAGCGTCCATAGGAAAGCATTGAGAATGCATGCACATTCGGCAGAAGAGGGAAGAGTCCCCAGCACTGGAGAAAGGTAAGTGTTTAACTCCTTCCTCCCCCTAGAGCCCGGCCGGAGCGGAACCTATTATTATAGTGCCAGGAAAACTAGTTAGTTTTCCTGGCACTATAGTGGTCCTTTAATAATACCAAGTATAGCGCATTAAAATTGGGGCCTCCACCCGCTGATACTGACCCTTTAAGAGCCCATTAGTCTAATGAACAGTTGATAAGTATTAACCTGCTTCATAAGAAACGTCTACAATTGGATTTATTTCCTAATTTTACTAGTTTGATTTAATCATGACGGACAGTTGTTGAGGACGTAAGGAGACAGAAGACATCGAAGAATTGTCACTTCAATTTTAGCATCACTTAATAGGTAAATAAATGATGGCTTTTGGTTGAGCTAAAATTCTGCTTTTAATACATACAGATCCTGGTGATATTACTGTAGCCCGATTGGATTTATATATTTTTTTTTTTTATACGAGAAGAACACATGTTCTATATATGTTTCAATAACCAAAGATTGCAATTGATTTCTATAGTCACAGTTGAGCTTTAGTACACTTCTTGAAAGATCTTTTCACAGGTGCATACTATTTAACAGATGCTCACTTCTTTGTGTACCATTTCCTAATAGTCACACACCGATACAATGTAAGTACTTAATAGACCCAACAAAGTCTTCAGCTGTAAGAAAGCCATTGTTTTCTGAGGCTTGTAACACATGTCCCACAGAGTCATCAAGTATTCTCTTGGTGGAATTAAATAAATAAATTCATAAGTACACAATTTTGACACGAAACTTTTCAAGAAACTTTATATTGAAATAGAACCTTTCTTACCGGTATGTTGAGTCTGAGGTACCAGACAGACATGTTAGCAGGCTTGTGCTGTATCTTATAAGCCTACAGAATATGTTGGCACTATATGAATTGTTAAAAAAATTTAAATAGCATCTTCTCTCATTATTAATCCAATTTTCACTGGGCTGCTTGGAACATAGCTTAGTTATTTGCATGTGTGTCTTGGCAATATTGACCTAATGGGACACTATAGTCACCAGAACCACTACAGCTTAATGTAGTGGTTCTGGTGTCTATAGCCTGTCCTTGCAGGCTGAGCACCTTAAACTCTGCCTTTTCATCGAGCTGGCATTCAGAGTCTCCACACTTGGCATGGAGATGCTGATTATTCCATCTTTATGATGAGTTGCGGATTGGCGCAGCATGACATTTTGCCACGGTATAGCCTAATGCTTTCATGTGGGGAAAGTATTGAATTGGCTATCATCAACATTAATGATCTGAGCCATGGGAAAAAAGGAAACTATAGTTTTTAGGAATACAGCTTTGCAAGACTATTGTTCCTATAAGCAACATGGACCAAACGGATCCAAATGGAAGCGTACAGACAATTCACAGTGAATGCCACCCCCTGTCGGACAAGTACAGGGGGGAATCCACAGACCGTAAATAAAAACTTCCTGCATTACTTGTTATCCATTAAGTCCTAGAATATAACAAAATTGCTCATATTAGGTGGTGTAAGTTTCAAAAATAATTTCCCACAATTCATACCGCTTTCCCCATAAAGGGTTTAGCCAAAAATTATACATAGCTGATTTGAACACCCAACAATTTGCACTTCAATAAATAACCATGAGAATATTAATGGAAAACTGCCTATAGATTAAATTGGAAAGTCACAAATTCCAGGGCAGTCAAAAGATACATTTAAGACACTCACTGCAAAACTAGAATATTAATTTCTTGGTGCCTCACTATTTCCCATCAGCTTTTATAATCAAAAATGCATCGTCTATGAAGTATAAAGATATACAATGCTGAAAACCCCCAAGTAACAAATATGCTTTGATTGGGGAGGCTTTTAAAAGACGTAACCATTCTTTACATATGTTTCTGAAGAACCCGAGTTTAAGAGGATGAAATGCCAAGAATATATTAAATTAAAATGGCCATGTTTTATGTGCATATAACCACACATGGAGAATGAATAGCAGTAAAGACATATTGTCTGTGCATTATAATGTTGTTTGACGCTCTGAATACATGCGCAGAATTACTACTGCTCATATGTACTAGGCTAAAGGTGAAACAACAGTCTGATAAAACATTGAACACTAAATCCTTAATCTGATGAATATTCATAAATAAGAAAAAAAAAAAAAAATTAAAAAGCTGTTTAGCAGTCACACCTGTTATGTGGAACAGGGCAATTTAACTAGGCCCAGACTGCTAGGAGAGGGACAGTGGCCTTGCATCACTCAAAAACACCAAAGCAAGGCTTACTGTGATAGCATTTTACCTGCTTTCCTTATAAATCCATTTACTAGAGAGATTTATTTTATTTTTAATTCCTATTTAAATGGTGAGATATTACAAAAATACATAGCCTGTGTTATATTTTATATAACATTGTTTGTTTTGTTTTTAAGGGTTTCAATCAGAAACCTTGGGACCTCTTACAATCCCCCCAGGAAAACACACAGAGAAATATATACATATTGGTTTTACACTCCTTCCAAGCTCCCTACTTTTTGCGTGTAAGGGAAGGTTTTCACTGGAGAGTGGTGGCAGCCCCTCTTACTCTCCCATGCAACAGATTTAGAGCACAGGGACGAAAGAACATTGGCATTCATTCAACACTAACGTGTGCAAGTAAAAAGGGAACCATCCAGCTATTCAATGCGATATGATAAGGATAGATATTTCTTTATTTTTGAGCACTCATACACTCATGGAGGCCTTGCTTTATATTGCCTCTAGTTTAACACACTGCACAATTAAGTGTATCAGGGGGAAAAAGTAAACCAAAAAATTAAACCAAAAATTGTGTTTTATTTATAACCAGTTAGTCCTAACACTTTTCACTAGAAATTTCTGTAGCAAATGGCCAGGTCTATGAATACTAAACTGTTATAGTTTGTAATGGCTATATAAATAAGCATCTGTATCAATACATGTACACTGAACGGAACACGGCCTTGAGTGAATTACAAAGTTCTAAAAAAGGAACTGAGCCATAGCCTGAAACATAGTTAGATGTGAAGAGTCTTATTATTTTTTTTACACACACACACACAAAAAGTGTCTCTTGCAAGTGGACAGAATTTGGCTCAAAGCGGTTGGGTCTCAGAAATCCCTTTGATTCCTATGCATCGATGAAATACGCATCATTAATCGTTTCACCCCTAACTTGGGGCCCAACTACGTGGTTTATTGCCAAATGCATCCCAACGGGTGATCGTTCAATCCATTTCTACAAAAGTAAAGAAAAAGAAATGGTTAATCCCTTTTACTGGCAAAAGAGTAGACAATTTTAATAAAACCAAGCTATTATTCCAGCAAAATCTCTCGCAATTTCTATGCGCGACATCAAGCTTAATGAAAGACTGAAAAAGAGTGAAGGCATATGAAGAGAGCATGACTGTGCTGCTTGTTAAAGACTCAATATATACCTAGTAGTCATTGAGTCAAATCATTTTAGTCCTACAAATGTGTATGCAACTCTTCCATTGTCTGTAAGGATGTTCTGCAGTGTATACAAAGAGTAGCATAGTACAGTAAGAGCCCTGCTGCAACTACTTCCTGTTTTCAAATCTACCCAGAAGGGAGACCGTGGCTGGTGGGAAATATTTTTCTACTCCGAGGGGGCTTTCCCTTTGCAAAGGTTAAATGACAGCAGGGAACCAGCAGTTAAAACCTCTTCAGTGAGCATAGAAGTCAGCTACTAGGCACTGCAACACTGAGTACTTCAAAGTCTTTAAGGAACACACTAGGTGCCTCCCAGACAGGCTGGCAGACTTTTTGTATCGAGAGATCAAGTTCCCCTCTCTTCCTAAATAGGAAGAGAAATGTAAAAAGGCAAGTATGAATCACGATACAAATTAAAGTATGTGTTTCCCCTAATTTCACTGCAATTAGCTTTTAAACAATGTATTATATAATTATACTCTGAAAGCAAATTACTGGCATGTTGCAGAAGTGGTAAGTACATTTAAAGCCCGGCAAGCCGCATATGACACCTTGAAATTCTGAGTCTTTGTTAGTTCTTGCAATCCTTCTGTGAGAACAACTGCACTTCAACTTAAAGAGCAACACTAACTACCTACCAGCTGATGATTCACTCAAAACGCCCAGACCCAACCAGTAATGATGGCCGGTGTTGAAAGTAATCCCACTAGCAGCAGGATTGCAGCTTAACTGGGGAAAGGCTAATGAGCTGTATTGGTGCATTATGAAAGTCCTGCAGAAAGGGGGGTATTAAATCCTGTACATACAACCTCCAATCAAAGGACTTGAATGGAAAAAAAAAGTTAAATGGATTTGTATTGTTTCATATAATACACTTTAATAAACACTACTTTTGGCTCTTATTAGCAATGTTTGCCTTGGGGTAGATACAGGTCAGGATGGGTGTACAGAAATTGAAGGAACTCTGCACAGGGGAGCTTAAATATTTAGTAATTACATGGTGTTACCAAAAAAACCAAATAAAACCACAAACTAAAAAAAAAAAAGAAAAAAGTGACAGTGTACAGAGAACAGTTTCTTTTTATGGTCGAAAAAAACCCTTTAAAAAGATAATTGAGAGTTTGCATAATAACTTCGTCCACAAGAAGTAGCGGCCTTGTGGTACCAGGGAGAAAATGTATTTTACTAAAGCCGCTTTCATACACAGCTGCAATGACCTACTTGTGAATAAAAATGAACCAAGCTAGCTGCCTTCGCAAACAAAACTACTGAAACCAAAGAGGGACGGAAGAATCTAAAAGTACATCTGCAGCAGTATATCCCAAGACTATTCTCACATTTTTTTTTTTAAATGTCATACTTTCAAGTACTTTTTCTAAATGTTTTCTAATGATTTCCATAGTGCAAGAAAGTGGGGATGGCAGTGGGAACATGTTAATGTAAACTTGTGGGTTTTTGGTGTACACTCTGTGCATCTTTCAAACACCGGACATTACATTCACTCAGGATAAAAATATTCAAAAAAAATCCCCATTAAATTGCACAACACTCCAAGCAGTATACAAAAAGAAAAGTCCTGCGCTCACTCCCATCACTCCTGGCCGGCAGCAATGACCACAGTACACATCAGCTCCAATACATTTAGTAAAAACCAAAGGAAAAAAAAGTTACATGCGCTCTCTCCTTAATCCCTATGTATATTTAAACAAATGGAGGTCATTTAGTTACTCCAATGGCCACTGGAGGGAATGCCCACCTACCATCGTCAAGGCAGACCCCCTCTAGACTTTTCTTTTTTGTATTTACTTTTTGTATCAAACAGCTAGGTTACAATGCTGCTGCCTATGTGTTCCCTATTAAGGGTTAATAAATATATAGGGGTGTATATAAAAAAAATACCACTGTCTCATTAGAGATATCTTTGCCAGAAGCTCAAGGAAGCAAGGTGAAGGGTCAGAGTAGGACCCGCTTAGGGGGGTCTGCCTTGACATTGGCAGGCAGGCATTCCCTCCAGTGGCCATTGGAGTAACTAAATGACCTCCATTTGTTTAAAAATACATAAGGATTAAGACGAGAGAGCGCAGGTAACCTTTTTTTCTATGGTTTTTACTCCGAGCACTATAACAAAAAATGATCAAAATCAAATTAAATGGAGGCATGTATGGCGTTGTATTATGCTTGTGTTATTTACGTGTGCTGCAGTTGCTTTGTAACGTATTTATGTGTATGTGGGCTGTTATATTGTATAGGTTCATGAATAGTTTGTAATATTGTGTATGATACCTATGAATGTGGGTTGGGTATGTGGGCTATCTTGTGGAATTATATGTGAAAGATATGTAACATTGTGTGTTTGGTGCCGTTTGTATGTGAGGTTGCTTGTGGTGGTGTGTGCGTGTATGCAGGTTGTCCATGGTGTTGCTTGGTCACTGCTACCTCTCTGCCTTATGCAACATCAGGGATGAGGCATGGCCTCCACTGCCGGGGGCAAATCTAAAGCTCCTAATAGAAGAGCATTGGTAACCTAATGAACATGCGTGGCAAGCGCTTCACGTGCATTCAAACTTTCGCCTATGGTGGCTTCCGCATCACGTGACAGTTTTATTCTGTCAGTGCAGCTAAAGCTTCTCTAGTGACTGTCATACTACAGCTATTAGAGGTGGACATAAGCCTGACTTCAAACACTGCAATTTCCTTTTAACCCTGCAATGTAATACACTGCAGTTTTTTTTTGTTTGTTTTTAAAGACATGGAAACTGCACCTAGATCACTTCACTGAGATGAAACGGTCTGGGTGACAATAGTATCTCTTTAAGGTCTTATTTTAGTTTCCAATGTTTTGTCATTTTGACTTCAGCCTCAACAGGATAGACATATAAAGTCTCTGGCAAATGGCAAGGTCCTGAAAAGGAACACATACAGCCTATTTCATCCTATCACATCATACAGCTTTGCCTCATGAACCCCTTTGAGTCCAAATTCAGTATCACTTGCTCACTCTTTACCAACTCCTGTGAAACAAAGCATTTTTCCTGACACACTTTACTGCTCTCAGTAGTTTAGAAACAGGGATTTTCTTACATCTACTGATATTCTTCAGAACAATTCCCTGACCTCCTTGACATGCTAAGACTTTCTGAGAAGCTTTACAATTTCTCTGGTAATTACTCAGGCAGGGTAAACATACATTTAAAAAAAAATAAATAAAAAAAAAAGGATGAATAACCACACCATTTCAATGTGGGCAGATATCCTCATTATGCAACGCCAATAATTGGAACCAATCAAACTCTTTAGTATAGATAACAGCCCAGGAGAGGGACTTTAGACCCCCTACAGATTTCACTGACTGGCAGGACATGTGTGATGTGATATCTATGTCCATCTGTCTCAAGCATAAAGAAAATATGTTAAAGCTTTTTTGATGGTACAACTACATAAAAAGGGGCCATCTCCCATTTAGCAGCTGGTGGAAGCAAGGTGGAGGCACGGAAAAGTACATTATCACCTGGTGGGTGTTACCAGAGCTACATGGCAAAAATGTTATCAAAATGTTATTCAAAAGTAAATTCTGCAAAACCATTTTTTCTTTGGGTGGGGGTTCTCACCATAAGCTCTGGAAGAAGAAAAAATAAAATAAAAAAATAAGTTAGAGGACCCCGATGAGATGGAGTTACTAACCATACAAATCACTCAACACATCTTATTCACCATTTTTCATTTAACTTTGCTTAGCAATCCTCTCTCTTCATCCCAGTCACCCTTTATCATATTCTCTTCCTGGGCTCCCATTTTTATTTTATTTTTTAAACCTCTCTCTCTCTAAATACCTTGATGGCCAGACTTTGTTTCTTGGTTTAAGGTTTTAGGTTTATAATTAAAAGGACACATTTTGACTGCTCAATAACAGGTCAAATAAGTAGCAAACCATTTTATTGAACATGCTTTATATATGATGATAGTCCAATAATAATGGACTACGCAAGCCTCCTGTTTTTTTATAGGAGGATGCGACCTTGCCCGTTAAGAGACCTTTATTATGGTTACGATAAATTTTAAATGACTGTACCTTAGTATAGCTCTGGCTCATCCTTCCTATTCAAAAATCTTTTATCTATTTAAAAATTCTACCAACTATGTTCTACAGTTCGTACTTTGGGTTTTTCAGTTTTATTATACTAGCGTTTTGCTTCTATGTATTGAAAATTAAAAAAAACATAGAAAAGAAAGGTTTACATTATTTTTGTAGTTTGAGGTCTTTGTGTAAGTGAACACACACCAAAAAAGGTATATCTTACCAGACTGGATGCTGGACTGTCTGAGTGAAATTAGAACAGATTTCATCAATGCCTGACTCCAGATGTTCACTGCTCTCATGCGCCTCCAAAACCCTATCACAAGTTTCTACTTGTGTGACTGACTTGTCCAGACAATCAGAAAGATGGTCAGCACTGGCTACATCTGCATCTTTGCTTTCCTCCCGTCTATCGGCAAACCAGGCTATCACTTCCTCTGTAGTCATCTCTGTTTTGTCACAGAGATCCTTAATGTCATCATCACAAAGTCTGCGGTGCTGCTCAAAATATTCCATGAGTGGGTGGCAAGAGACAGTTTGTGTATCCACCCCACCTTTATAGCGTTCATACCACCTTAACTGACCGTTTTTTAAAGAATACCTAGAGTCCCCAAACCAACGCACAAGGTCGGCACGCGGCAATCTTGTTTCTTCTGCTAGCTCATCGTATTCCTTATTTGTAGGCCATTGTGTCCTAACAAATGTCTGCTTCAAAAGGTCTCGTTGATTTGCAGTTTTTTTAGCATGTTTATTTTTCACAGGAGTGGATGATCTACTGCTCCCATCAGTGGACATACTGCTCTCATCAATGTTTGGGTTCTCCATGTTGTCACTGGACTCTGTGACACGGAGATCCTTGAGGTTAATTTTGATTGGGTTTACTTTTCTCTCATTGGACACTGGGGAGCTATTTTCAGCTGCTGAGGTCTTCTGGCAGACAGATGCACTTACATCTGTAGAGTGCTCACCTTCAACCTCTTCTATCTCTTCCTCCTCCTCTTCTAATTCTTCTTCTTCCTCCTCCTCCTCCTTAACCTTCTTATTCTCTTCAGCTAGTTTCTTGCGTTTCTCAGAGAACCAGCTGTCTATTTCACGTCTGGTCATTTTGGTCTCACTCCTTAAACGATTAACTTCTTCATCTGAAGGAAAGTTGTTTAGAAAGAAGCTGCTTTCCAGAGCTCTGAGCTGTTCAGGAGCTCTTTCTTTGTATTTGGTGGGAGTAAAGTCTGGTGTCTGATTCCATTGTGACTGTCTCCTTGATGTGTGTGACGGAGTGTGACCAGTTAAAGGCAATGCATAATCCATATCTGGTTCTTTTATCATAGAAAACATTGCATCAGATGGGCTGTCAACCATACGATCACTGTTTTCCCCTGTGGCTGCCTTGTTACGCCAATGATACCTCTTATCACTAAACCATTTCCTAACATCCCTTGTAGTGAGTCCTGTAAGTCTGGTCAACCTTGTAACCTCAGTTTGTGTTGGGAATTGATTTCTACAAAAGCTGTTCTTGAGAGCACTAAGTTGCTGTCTAGACTTTTTGCTCCTGGACAAATTGGAGTCGAAAAAGCTTTCAGAAGCCATACTGGTAGAAGGAGATGTTGCAGTTGCAGGTTGAGAGGCACTGACAGCCTTGCTAGCTGGTGATGCAACTCTGGCTTGGGTGGTGGTGAGAGAGGTTGGAAGAGATGTTACGGTCAATGACACAGGAGTTCTTTGAATTCCATTTGTAATGATAGGTTGAGTTACAAGCAAACCACTTGCTCCTTGTGGCTGACCAACTATCTGACCAGGCAGAGCTGCCTGAAGAAGATGCTGGACATTACTGGCATTGGTTACGAGCGGAGCATTCAGAACAGTTATTGTTGGCTGATGCATGGGTTGTGGGATGGACTGAATAACAGTGTTGAACATTTTTTTCCTGGAGTCCTCGATTTCTTCAGGTGACCAGCTAATACCTTGTTTCAGTCTTTGTGCAGTAAACCAGATTTTTATTTGCTCTTCTGGGTATTTTGTTACCACTGTTAAATAGCAAAGTTCTGCTTTTGTAGGATAGGGGAACTTGGTGAAAGAGTTTTTCAAGAAACAGTTTGAATCCATGGATATATTGTACGTCGGAATGCTGCTAAGAGGAATCATTACTTTAGGGAGAGATTTTGAACTGGGAAGCTGGGAGCTCTGCACAGAGTGTTGATTTTTCTGCATAGCAGAAGGTTTAGCCAACACAGGTGCTATTATGGTTGGAATCTTTGGCTGAATCACTGGCTGTGAAGTATTTATTGATACAAATTGAGTCACCCCAGTTGGCAAGACAGTTCCTAAAATGGAACCATTTACAACTGAAGAGGAATTAACCAGGTTTGTAGAGGCCTTAGTTGCTGCTGCAGATCCGTTTCTAGAAGCAGCGTAGCTTTTTTTCTCCACCTTATCAGGTGCTGGATTGAGGTTATCTTTTATCGTTACAATTTTTTTTGTTTCAGCCTTGTTTTTCATGATTTTCATTATAGGGGCTTTAGTGATGGTAGTTTCGGAATACTCATTTACGCACTGATTAGTACGTTGCTCTGTCATCTCCTGGTCATGGTTTTGATCCCCCACACTTTGCTCAACGACAGTGTACCTTACATGTTTGGCCACACTCCAAGTCAGTCCTGCATCTCCTGCGTGGCACTCGGCATTGTGAGCTTCAAGTTCTTTGGGGTCTTTTACCAAAAAGCTACATGTAATACAGACGTAAGATGGATCTTCTCTGAAGTCCAAATGCTTGGTATTCATGTGTTCAACAAACTTATTTGTCTCTTGAGATCCGAAATTGCAGTATTTACAAAAGAAACTATCCCCATTTACATTTTGATGCCCATTAGAAAGTAAATCATTACAGTTCATTAAATCTGTTACAAGCTGATCTGGAGCTTGGTCTTTGGCAGTAGAGTCTGTACCCCCCTCTAGAGTTAGAGTCTTAAGTGGTATCATGCAAGGAGTAGTAGACTTTCTTTTGCTGGCCATGGCTACAGTTCTGTCAGTGTAATGTTTTTTTGGAAAAATAAAACTATTTCATGTGGTTAAACTCAAGAATTCTCACTTCTCTGCAATGTCTGAAATTCTTCAGTTACAACATGATCCCTCCACCTAACTCCAGAATGGACACTTGGAGACCTGAAAAAAAAAAAAAAAAAAATGTAAAAACTGTTAAGTTTGTTCAGATACGTTTTAACAAGAAATTATAACCAAGTGAAGAAAATGTACTTAAACTGCATGGGGTTGACAAGATTGCCACACCGCCTAATATTACTGCTGAATCTATACAGACCTCCGGTTTAGAGTAGTTTCTAACAGAGCACAGATCTACCAACTAAGGTTCTTAAATCACAAAAGATATGCGAAGTGTGGGCATGCAACATATAAAATGTATTTGTTCAATACACCACATTCCTGACTCCTAAAAATATACCTATGTATTCAAGGACTATGGGGAGAATGCAGTGGTTCAGAGCTCCGAGATCATCAGTAGAGTTATGGTCTGAGTGAGGAGACAAAAATTGGCACTGGGCATCATCATGTTGCCTCTAACATTATATGTACATGTATTCTATCCCTTTTTATTATTCAATTCCATAAAATAATGCATCCAGTGATCCAGGGAAAGAACAAAAAAAAAATTACATTACAGCAGCAGAGCTAAAAAACCTTGTGACTATTTGTACAGGCAGGAAAAATATCTACGAACAATCTTAAGCTGTTCTGCCTGCAATTTGTTGGCAGCACAGCAAGCATGCTATAAAATAAAAACAAGGTCCAAAGTTCAGTTGCTAGATTAACTGTTCTATGTGCAAGCCTCATTAAGAGGCTACAGAAACAATACTGTACATAGTCTGGTAGGAAAATAATGGACTAATCCACCCCTTCCCCTCCCAGTTATACCTCCTGTTTGATTTTACTACATGCTCGAGATTTGTCTGCTCTCTCTCTCCTGTGAGAGTATTGTGGGTAATGGAACATGTGCAGGCCTTATAAATATCCCCAAACATTACTTGCCATTTACAGAAAGTAATCTTTTCTAAAGCTCTTCTTTCTACCAAGTTTTTTTTGTATATTGGAATGGTTTTTCTTAAAATACCGCCTATACTAATGACGGCTACACAGATTCAGCCTCCATGCAGGCATTGCTGGTCAGAGCACAGGGTACTTTGATACTGAGCCATAAGAAAAGATATATTGGCTGAAAAAAAAAAAAAAAAGTAAAGAAACAAGACGATTAGGTTCATGGTAGAAACCAATCAATCTCAGTAAATGTGCAGGATTATTTATTTATTTATTTATTTTTGACAATCTTTATTTATTATTTTATCGTATCGTTTTTTCCACGTATATAATACAATTACAGACTTAGATAAAGGCCTATAACATCGGGCCTATCGAGTCATTGTTATCGAGACAATACAGCGAAATGGTAGCATCTAAGCAAAAACACATCGAAAACCATAACCGTAAACACCCCCCCGAGCCCCAAGGATGACCAGCCTCTCAGTACCCCTTCGGGGGTCACGTGAGGCGAGTAGAGAGTAGGACATGGTGATCGCAGCTATCCCTTTGGCGTCGTAAAGCTGTGATACCTATCCACCGCATGTGCCTACTGCTACATTCCCATGGGCTAATTGTTGCGCCCGCTCCTGTTCCCTAACCCCGTTAGCCCCCCTCTACTGCGCACCCGGTGTTCCAGTGTGCAGAATATATATTTGAACATCAGAATGGCCTCCGGCCCAACAACTCCCCCCCACCCCCGTATTGCTGGATGCCCCTATAGAGCAATTCGGGCATCTAATGCCTGGGTATTCGATTTAGCTTCGTACCCCCCTACAGAGCCCTGACCCCATGATGGCACCATCGACCTCCTGCCCACGTGCCCAATACCTTCCCTGGTGTGGGCCTCCCACCCTTCCCTACCGAGATCTATAACCCCATAGCCTCGTCCCCCTCCAAGTGTACGTCTGTCTTAATGCCTGCCCTAGTCTTGTATCTCCCTCCCTGCGCTTCAAGTTGATCCGTGAGCTTGGTTTAGATTATTATTTTTTTTAATCATATCCTCAGTCAGTATTACAGAGCATTCACGCCCTCAGAGCCTTCTAAAAGGGCACCGGAAAATTAAATGGTTACCAAGCAACTGTTGCAGCAAGAAAAAACAAAGTAATATACTACTTAAAGGAACAGTGGCAACACAACCAAAATGTATTTGATAGGATTTGGCATTATTCATATTCATGAGGGTTATTGGGTGAGAATTGACAGGAATTTAAAGTGAATTTTAAATGTAAGGCCAAAGTAACCAAACTGAACAGAGTCTTACACAAAAAAAAAACTATTTTGCCCTAAATTTTAGAATTCATTTTAAATTCTTGTCAATACTCCATTTAAAGGGACACTTTGTACTCCCCAGAACTATAGTTCTGTAGCTCTGGTGACTAATCATTTCCTTCAGGCATTTTAATGCAAACACTGCCTTTTCCTGAGAATCTCAGTGTTTACATTGCCCTTAGGGACACCTCCAAGTGGCCACTGGAGGTGCTTCCTGGGGCAGTGCTGCACAGTAGGCAACACTGCAGTTCAGCGTCTCCACGCACTGCATTGGGATGCAGAATTTTCCTCATAGAGATGCAATGATCCAAAAAAAGTTTTTGGGCCCTGCCCCCATGCCGATTCTAGCCAATCCAATGCTTTCCCCATTGGAATGGCTAAAAATCTGCAATTCTGATGAGGTTACCAAGGGGGCGGGGCCAGTGACAGCAGACCCACGTGGCGCTGAAAATAAGATGAGTTTTCACCTTTTCCAAGAGGGTTAAGGGGAAGGGGCAAGCCACCTAAATGGTGGGTTTAGCACTATAGGGTCAGGAATACATGTTTGTGATCCTGAACCTATAGTGTTCGTTTAATGAATAAACTTCTATGTATCCATATTGCAGGTTTAAATCTTTTTACTTTTGTTTAAAGGGACACTCTAGTCACCAGAAATGCAGCCTATTGTATTTGCTCTGGTGAGTATAATCATTGCCTTCCAGCTTTTTGCAGTAAACACTTTCAGAGATGGCTTCTAGAGGTGCTTCCTGGGGCAGTGCTGCAGTGTGCCATTCAGTGTCTCTACCCTCTGCATGGAGACACCGACCTTTCCTCATGGAGATGCACTGATTCAATGCATCGCAGTGAGGATATGTTGATTGGCCAGTGCTGGCTATGCCCCTGATCTGTCTTCTTGTCAGTCTTAGCCAATCGATGCTTTCTTATGTGAAAGCACTGTGATTAGTATTAAGCAACACTTCTGATGTTAGCCAAGCAGGCAGATCAAGTGCAGACCCAGCAGCAGCAGACTGGAGTAAAGGTAAGATTATGCTATATTTAGGGAAGACAGAGGTGGCCCAAGATGGAGCCAGATTGTGTTTTTCATACTATAGAGTCAGGAATACATGTAGTATTTCTTTAAAAGATAAAGATTTGCAGCTTTCTGTAACATAACACTGCACGTTTAAAGGGATACTATAGGCACCCAGACTACTTCAGCGCATTGAAGTGGTCTGGGTGCATTGTCCCAGACCCCTTAGTCATGCGATGTAAAAAATTGCAGTTCCAGAGAAATTGCAATAATTACATTGCAGGACTAAGACAGCCACTTGAGGCACTTCCTTCTTGCTAGGCAACTTTTGGTCACTTGACGCGGGACATCCTCACGCTCTGCATGATCTTAGCAATGCTAAGGAGGAGAGGTGATTTTAAATTTTTTTTACAAAAATAATAATAAAAAAAACAAAACAGCGATTGGCTTTCGACACAGTAACAGTCGTGCTGAGCATAGTACGTACTAATAAGAAAGTTGCTTTGTAGAAAAGAGTGTGGCTAATGGGTAGTGCTTTGCTGTAGAAAGTTGCTCTTTTTATTGGGGGAGGAGAGGGGGTAGATGGGGGAAGAAAAGGGATGCAGTATGAACAGGAGATAAAAACATATCAAATGAATTAAAGGAAATCTATAGTGTTAGGAATACAAAGTCATATTCCTAACACTATATAGTGCCCTCTGGTCTCCATCAAACCACTTCTAGCTCATATCTGCCTCGGCACTAGATCTGCATTCCGCCTCCTTTAATGGGGGGCCAAACGTGCAGTAAGGGATGCCTGGGTGCCAATAGTGTCCCTTTAAAGGACAACTGTCAACTCCAAACTATTTTTTTTTTCCATAAGATTTTGTTGTTTTTTTCTACATTTACTTTATTTTAAGAATTTTTTTTATTTTATTTTTTTAAATCTGAGAAAAGCTTATCACTACCTTTAGGATAGGACAGTAACCTTCAGCCATATGCATGCACCTTGGGACAGCGTGTGTTTGAAAACAGAGTCTCTTTGGTTTTCCCTGCTTCACTTCATGAACAGCGATCAGGGAAGTCTATAGATACAGATTTCAAAACACTGTTCAACTAAAGGTGCAAGTATATGGCTAAATGAGCCTGTCATATACTAAAGTTAGTGATGGGGTTTTCACAATTTTCTTGACACATACTTCATATGGAGATTAAAAAATATTTTCTTTCAAAATTTGATGAAAAGATTATTTTATTAAAAATAATTTTGAGGTGACAGTAGTCATAAGTTGTGTTGGCACCCAGAGTGTGCCAGACTTGGTGACAAATTCATCACAAAGTGCATAAGTGGCAATGGAGTATCCTGTACAACAGTTATCACGAAGGGATTAAAAGGCAATTTTAGCAGTTTAATTTTTTTTTATTATAATAAATACACACTGACACAGTGCCTATAAAATTAATATTTGCAAGCATGAAGGGATCTTATCTCTAAAAAAAACAACAAAAAAACAAAAACAAAAAAAACCCATTTCCCCATTTCAGCTCCTAAGAGATTATGGTTAATGGTTTACTGAAATTGACATTGACTAGCGCTTTAAGCTTTGTTTACCACCAAACAAATCGATGAATTGCAGGTAGTTTAATAAGGGCCAACCTTCGCACTAGGGGGTTTGTTGACTACACGTTCCATGACTCCTTTAACAATTCTCAAGCTATTTTAGTTTATAAACTCCTGTAGAGCCAGGGTTAGCAAATACACAGGTGGAAGTAAAAACCACCAAATTCTACCCCATTTAAAAATATTAAATATTCTACTCTTTAATGGCAACATAACATGCAAGCGAAGCTGCTTACCCATTGGGTATGTAGGGGAGATGTACCCTTTTCTTTGCACTTCTAGAACATTCATCCGATTCTCCAGAAGAAACTTTATGCTGTGATCAGATTTAAATTGCTTTATTTCATCTGCCGAGCCTATATCAAAAAGAAAATAATTACAAAAACATTAATCTCTCTACATCATTCAATCTCTACCTTTAAAAAGGTAGGAATTGTTCCTTCCAGACAGTGAAGGGAAAACCTCCACACATAGCTTTTACATAGGTACCATTCCGGACAACCTGTCCCCCTTGTAATTCGTTGTTATTCCTCTTGTTTTTATTCACGCCATTTACTTCTAGATAGGAAGTTCAATTTAGCAGGAATTACCCTCTAACTCTTGTATTTTGTCTGTTGATCACTTGCGGTTATACATCTCCACTGTATAACTGCAAGCACTGCATAATAGGTTGGTGCTACAGAAATGCCAAAAATAAATAAAAAACACATTTTGTAATCTCAAGCAATTTGTATGTGGTTTTGTATGCCTAACATTATGGCCATTGAGGAATATAAAGACATTACACATGTGCCCTCTAGAGGAAACAGTCTATTCTATACAATGTACAGATCACAATAACAATTTTACAATTGACTTTGCGTTTTAACCAGGCTGGTAAGAGTTATTTTAAAAAAAGCTGAACTTCAATATACTGCTACAAATTCATGGCTGCTATCCTATGCATCTACACATATAATGTCCCTACAGCAACACACAACACACAGGAGGGTTTGCTAAACCACAGAAGACGAATACATATTTACAGATATTGTACTATTTTATGTATTTGTAAACTATAACTCTTATAATGATCTAAGTTGGAGTGTTTCTTAAAGGGTTACACCAACCACCAGGAACACTTCTGCTTTTAGCGGTAGGAACCTGTTTGTGCACCTTTTCTGTTTGAAACTACACATACAGAGATATATCCACTTTTGTGCCGGGGAGTAGTTGCAAATATCAAATCTGTGCATAAATTATACCTGTGGTTACACGCACTGCTCTCCCCCCTCCCTATACATTTTATTTCTTTATCCAGTCCCTCCCAACTCCCTCCTTTGCTCCTGAGAGAACAGTCCAAATAATATTCTTTGGGAAGCCTTTAAATATACCTAATGAGGCAGCAGTGAAGTCACAGCAGGGGTGGAAACTGACTTCCAGGTGAGTTTATGTTCATTTTACAGGACTGTGTAGGGGGTGAGGGTGTTAATGGTAAGGAGAGGTAAGCAATGGTCAAAGAACAGACTTGTGTGAGTTGTGGAATAGCGGAGAATGGTATTAGCTGTTGAACTTTAGAGAATAGTTGCAGTTAGTATAAAAGAAGAATTAGTAAAAACAGTAGAGTGGACAGTTACGTACTGAGGTTTTTGGCTGCTCAAAGCCAGGTTAGACATTACGACACACACACAAAAACCCACAGTGACATACATAGATTCACACATACATACATCCACCAACAGTCTGTCACATTTCACACCTTTTTATAAACTGCGCTGCACATGAGAAGGCCAGCGTTATGGCAGCCCCTACCCTGTTCTCTAGTTTTGGGAGACTAGAATCTGCACCCCCCCGCACACTCCCCCTCCCCATGCAAGCAGTACGGTTAACAGGCAGATGGTGTCATATCACTACGCTCCTGCTCCCAATCAGTGAGCCAAAAACAACAACAAAAAAACTCTACCCTGTTGCTCTAGGCCAATAACATCCCTGACAGTGGATACCGAGTGAGACGAGCAGAGAGGGATAGACAGAGATGGTAGACAATGGTGGTAAAATGGAGCTGCCATGAGGGAGGATTAGACAGTGGTATAGTGAAAGAACTGCAAACAAACTCAACGCCATTCAGAAATTCTTAATACATGCGCCAGCAATATTAGTACACTTCTGTGTTCTACGTAAATGCATTAGAGAGCCCTGTATCCCCAGAAAAGGACACTAGTAAGAACTCCCACTTATAATACAGGATCATGTATTCAGTTATTATAAACATGCAGCCCAACTTGACATCCTGAAAACCTTCCAAAAAATGACCAAAAAGTACAAGCAGTACGATCCACTGGGGATTCCAAGTAGTTACAGGCTACAATTCCCAGTGACTCGTTCATATCCCAACAACAGTCAATGATCTGGCAGGAAACTCTTGGTGTGGGACACATTGCCTGCTGCATGTGGATACTTTCCTGAAAGTCACAAAAGAATTAATGTGTAAATGAATCACGGAACATGCCTAGGTCAGCACGCTACCTTCTGGAGTTTAGAAAGTGTCAGCACTGTCACACATACTAAACCTGCTGACACGAGGCATGCAATGTCCACATCTTGGGTCACATTTTTCCAAAGTTAGAAGGCATGATTTACAAAGAGGGGAGAGAATGGAGTTTTAGCAGCACATTTATGTTACCCTAAATAAATTGATGCATGATGCTGATATGCTGACCGTTTGAAGAAAATGATAGTCTGATACTTTAAAATGTTACTCCAAGCACCACTGGTAATACGATTCAGTAGTTCATCTACCCAGGGCATTGGATAGGCATCAGTCAGTTTGTTGTTTTTTTAAATTTAGCTTGCTAATAGTCGACGCAGAAGCGGGTGGTCCCACCCTGCTTCGGCACAGCACTACCGGTGAAGCCCAGGTGTTGAGGCATCAATAGCCCCTAAACTGAGCATTTCTTGTATTTCCTTTCCATTTCCCTTCTCAGATTGCCAAAGAGATTCAGTAAGGGGCCTGTCCTGAGTTTTCCACTTTATAAATGGCTAGGGTAGTGTATCAGGTTCACTGGAAAAAGTATGCCTTTTAGCCTCTAACAGCTGTTGGACCTGTTTTTTTTATATATATATTTTGATATGGAATGGGCGATTCACTGTCTCATCAGAGCAGCTCGCGGTCACATAGGTAGTGTCACAGACTTGTTCAACAAACTTGTAGGAACCCTGCCAAGCGCCCTGCAGCGTCCCTATCAGACCATACTCATGGACTACTTTGGGCGGCCTGAAAATATTCTCTACAGCCCTCGTCAATTGTTCCAGGCGGTCCCTTGGCTCCAGCATGTATGGGACGATGGGTGTCCACTCTGCTTCCTCTTTAAGTGCTCCCAATTGAGATCTCTGGGTCCGCTCACCTGCCTCCCATACAACAGTTTATACATGGAGAACCTGAGGGTTTTCCAGGAGGCCCTGACCGGTATGCAGGAACCATTCCCAGTCGTGCAAGCAATAGGAAACGTCTGAAGCATCTGCTTCGGAGTCCCATTAAGCCACTCGCACTGGCTGTTGGTTTGGGGAGGATAGGGTGAGATCCGGATGGGTTTAATCCTTAAGAGCATCCACAGTAGGTGCATGACCTCTGCAGTAAGCTGGGTGCACTGATCTGAGAAACTCCCATGGAAACCCCACTTGAGAGAACATTTGCATCAGGGCATTGGCCACCGTTTCAGCTTGAATATTGGTCAGAGCCAACGTCTCTGGGTACCAACACTTTATTCAACAACTCGCACAAATTTGCACAGGTATTGTCCAGGGTCCCTTGGTGTCTGGGAAAACATAAAAAAGCAGGAAAATTTAAATAACTACCAGACACCAGGGGTCCTTACAACAGTATCCCCAAAACCGTGCATTCTCCATAAGTTATCACCAAGAGATATATATCCCCTGAAGATCTGTTTTAGAGGTGCAAGCTGTCCACAAACCGCTTAGATCAGATGTGTCCAGCCGGGTCTTGACCCTCTCCTTCTATATGATGCAAGTTCCAGACTGTTTGGTACCAAATCCAATCTCAATTAATGGCTTCTCAGAGCCCCGTAGAAGGGAATAACTTCAAGTCCTCAGTGTCGCTGGACACCTCTTCACCTCCCTGACCTTCCCTGCAAATAGAGCTCAGTTTGTTGGTCCTGGTACAAAGCAATACCCACCTGAACTTTCACTTCCGATCGTGACATTTGCCCAGTCCAGTGTACAGTTCCATGATGTTTCTGGGAGAGCTCTGTGCTCCATTCAGCCCCAAGAAGTGTTGTGAAAGTTTACTGGGGATAGATGGGCCAGAGATTAGGCTTCCTTATGTATTGTAAAGTAGCGGCACAGCACGTAGTGAGCTCTCTTGTGTAGGAGTTGCTCCAGAGTCCAGCGTCAGTTGTTAAAGTGACCGCGTCCATCAGCCAATGACCAGATTACTGTAGAAGAAGCAGCAGGAAGTGAAGCGTGTAATGCCTGACCCACAATGGCCTGAACAGAACGAAGCGTAACAGATTGCATTTGGCAGACTTGGACTACCCCTGCACAGAGGCTCAGCAACAGACATTGGCAAGCAAGCAAGCAAGCACAAAAGTAAATGTACTTTCAGAGTTCCAGGAAAAAAAGCTTTTTTTTCCTAAGAGATGTTTACAAGCGTAGAGAAAAACCATACAAGTCTGATCATATGGTTTAACAAAGTTACAGTTATGATAGAGAATATATATATATATATATATATATTAAAACTAGATTAGTGGAATAAATGGTAGGCAATCAACTGTGATGAATATATAATTTATTTTTACAAATTATAGTTAACCCCTTAGAGACCAAGGCTTGTCAGAGTTTCCATGTGTTTAGCACTGAGCTCTTTTTATGCATACACAACATTACTAGGATAGACGAGCTGAAAGCGTAGCTGACTGGCAGAATTTTTCTAGTTCAGCTATTTTGACCTTAAATTTGAAACGCACTGTGAATGCCCTGCAATTCTCACTCCAGTAAATAACCCTTTAAAGTATGAATAAAATATTAAAACATGGGAAAGGGGCATTTACCACAGTTTTATTTATAATTTAACCATTTCTGCACAACCAACCAATATAATCAGCTTTTATATAGCTTTCTGTGCCCAAATCTCAAGTGTTTTAGTTTTCATAAAATAGATTTAAAAAAATAGACTACTTTTCCTTATGTATACAGCAGGCCAGTTGACGAACCATGAGAATGGGTGGAGCTTAAGCAAGGTTCCGTTTCAGATGCCAATCAAGCTTACCCACAATACATCAGTAGAAGGCAAATGCAGACATCATGGGCAGAGGAGAATAAAATGGCTGTGCCCAGATAGATATTGAGATCCGGCACAAAGATTAATATAAATGAAAGGCAAGGGGAGTGGATTATAAATCGGTAAGATACAGAAGGCAAAATGATTTTAAAAAAATTAAAAATAAATAAAATCACAGCTGTAGCTGCTTGAACAGGTCATGTCATGAGTCCAAACCAAGCTTGTAAGACTATATATTGTTTGCAATGTGGTTAGGAAAGTATAAGAATTTATACTTGGACCAACCTCTACAAGAAAAGCAATATGGTTTCAGGTACATTTGACAATAGCTTCATAATTTCATACACACATTGTGGGAGTGAGGTAAAAAAAGGGGAGGGGGGACCTTTTTAAAACAACCATATACGGTTCATCATTGTATCCAATGTGATTGCAATAAAGCAAGAGAATACGTTGCCAATATTTGCTTTATAATCCTTTTTAAGTACTTATCTGGCCTTCGAAATGGTCATTTATAAACTTGTGCTACACTTGTTAGCATCTGTTAAAATCATATGCCAGTTTCCTCAGATGTCTCGAGTCACACCTAATAAAAAATATTCTAAATCCTCACATCATGTATGTAAGTTTACACATACATATATTAAAAATAAAAATAAATAAAAAGCCACCTACAGGTAGCGTCAAATTCTAATTTGAACTTCTGCAGGAATGTCAATTGAAAACACAATTTGCACATTCCCCTTCTCTCCATGGGAATTTGTATGTACATAGCACACAAAGTGATTTTAGCAATACAATTATTATTTATATAACGGCAGCAAATGCCGTAGCCCTGTAACCTGTAGCACGGAAATCCAGTTTAACACAATGGATATTAACCTCAACCTAATTAAGAACTAAACAGGCAAACTCCTCTAAAAGAACCAAAACAGATACACCTGTTGGACTACAACTGAAATCAGCCACAACCTAATAAAAAATATAATAATATGCCACACCTAAAATAACTACAAGCCATATTAACCTCTGCTAGCATGGTACTTGATCAGCTGTACTCCAAGAACAAATGTGATAAGTATAGGGGTACTTGTGTCATTAATGTGAAAGATCTTGGGCACAAACCTCAAATCTAATGTGTCTAAGTGATAATTTCCGCTTTAGGCGTCTTCCCTTTACAATTGTGGGTATGTATCAATTTGGCAAAATATCTAATACACTAATATCACTTCACACAACTTCAAACCTCCACCAAAAAAAACATTCCAGACCCCTAAAGCACTTTTCATTTTGCAAATAATGCAGAATACAACTGAAATTGGCACTTTTTAAAATTAACCTGGTTACACCCCTTGGCTTCCAAGCACACAACAGGTCCTGTTACTTCATGGCTGTTTTGCTCAGCAGAGCTAAATCCAAGAGACAAGGATATGCTCAGATCACTTGCCTTGCAAAGACTTCTCATTGAGCTGCATTGGGAAGCCTGTGATTGGACAGCCACAGAGTCAGGAGGGGTTAGACGGGGAGGGCTTGCAAAGGCTGCAAACAAGAGATCTTCAGGTTTTGTAAGAAGTTTGTAGATATGTCCCCAATAAAAAAAATGCATTATTAAAAGGAACACTATAGGCATCAAAACAGCTTTAGCATAACCCGTTAAGAACTGCAGACGTGCTACATCATCCTAAAAGATGGGCTTAAATGCCACAGGGCACCTGCATACTTATGCGGTCAATGGCTGTGTGGGGATCTGCCAGCCATATTTTATTTAGAGTAAAAAAAAAAAAAAGTTACCCTTTTTGTCAGCTGCAGCAGTTTAAAAAAAATATATATGTTTTACCCCTTCCCTGCTATCTGATCACTATACAGTATCGGAGTACAGTAGCTCTTAGTGCTGATCACAGCAGATTGATCTGCAATCAGTAGGTAATTCTTGAGTTGTGTTTTCAGTGGGTGGAAGTGGGAATTGGGGGGTGTTAGTAAGTATTAGGCAGGTAGGCAAATTAAATTATCCCCTTCTGACATTGCTTAAATTAATCCCCCTAATATGGCACGCTATCATAAGGTGAAGGAGGTATAAGCCATTCTGGTAGGCTCAGATAGGGAAACCTTCCCAGACAGTGACACTATTACAGCTTTTGACACAGAGCCCCATCACCATCTACAAGAAGGAGCTTAGGATGCCCCACAGTGCCAGAGGCAAACTGGTTACATCCAAACTTGCCATAAACTTGCCATAAAAAAAAAAAAAAGTCAAATTTACAAGTTTGAAAGGGGATCTATTTTGGCCCTATGACTTACAAACAAACAAACAAAAAAAAAACAGTATGTGGGACTACTCCTATATTCACGAGTAACAAATATACTGAGGCTTTATTACACAAATTCATATCAAGATTATCAAATTTTCTTGTGAAAATGTAATTCATGTATGTGAAAAAAATAAAAAATAAAAATATGACCAATAAATGAGGCCAGCATTTGTGATAAAGTTGCTAGACCAAACAACCCATTATGTCATTCAGAATCTGGTTTGCCTACTTTTAAAAATATGATATGCCACCATGGGGGTAAGTTTGTTTACTGGGCTACAACACTGCCTCAAATGTGACATTGGACCAGAAAATCACTGTCAAATTTACATGTTGAAAAGGACATCTAATATATTTGGGACTGTGACTTTCAAAAAAAAAAAAAAAGCCTGGAAAACATGGGGGATCTGTTGGCAAGATAATGTCAAGTAAATATATTGAGGCTTTGTTATATTAACGCACATTAGGACTATGAAATATCCTGTGAAAAAACACAGTAAAAGTAAACCATTAAAGGACCACTATAGTGTCAGGAAAACACACTCTTTTTCCTGGCACTATAGTGCCCTGAGGGTGCCCCCACCCTCAGTGTCCCCCTCCTGCCGGGCTCTAGGGTGAGGAAGGGGTTAAACTTACCTCTTTCTCCAGCGCTGGGCGGGGAGCTCTCCTCTCTGTCTCCTCTTTGACTGAATACGCATGCGCGGCAGGAGCCGCGAGCGCATTCAGCCAGTCCATAGGAAAGCATGACGCTGGTGTCTTCTCACGGTGAAAAATCACAGTGAGAAGCGCGGAAGCGCCTCTAGCGGCTGTCAATGAGACAGCCACTAGAGGCTGGATTAACCCGATTATAAACATAGCAGTTTCTCTGAAGCTGCTATGTTTATGGAAAAAAGGGTTAAACCTAACTGGACCTGGCACCCAGACCACTTCATTAAGCTGAAGTGGTCTCGGTGCCTATAGTGGTCCTTTAAATGGGGCCTGCATTTGTGATAAACGAACTAGACAAAACACGTGATTTGGAATACTCTGGTTTACCTTTTGAAAATGATGTCATAATGGTGGAAGTGTTATCACCCAGGTCATAGGCCAGAAAATCTATGTGTCACATTTATGTAAAATTTTGTACATATTGCACCCTGTTGTATCAATGCAATGGTTTGTGGATCCAGGATATACGTAAAAACGAGAGAAATCTCAATGTATCCATCCTGGTGAAATATTTTATAAATAAATAAAATTTCCAGGTATGAAGATTTGACACTAACTTTACATAACACCAAAAATCCTGTACAGGGGGATACTGTAGTACCGGTGAGACATTGCTGAACATAAATATGAGCAGTAAAACATACGAAATGAACACGAACTATGACATCAGTGCTCGATTCACTGCCATTTAGGAGTTAAACTAATTTTGTTTCTGTTTATGCAGCCCTAGTCACACCTCAAATGCCTGTGATTCACACAGCCTGCATGAAAAAAAAAAAAAAAAAAAAGGAAAAATCTTCATAATCAGATGTAAAATTACTTTTGAAGTTTTTATGACATGCGCTGTAAATTAAACTTTATTCACACATGAGGTTCTTGCAGGGTCTACAAAGATATTAACAGAGCAGGAGACAAGAAATTCTAAACTAAACAAACTGTACAGTAAAGGAAGTTTAAACATCAGATGTCTCTTAACAGGAAGTGTTTATGAAGGCTGTGTGAGTCACATGCAGGGAGGTGTGACTTGGGTGCATAAACAACGTGATTTAACACCTAAATTAAAGAGATCTAGGGGTGTTTAAACAAAAGTGAATTAACTACTAAATGGCAGTGAATTGAGCAGTGAGACTGCACTGCATGATCTATACACCAAAACAGCTGAAGTTGAACTTCATTAAGCTGAAGTTGTTTTGGTGCATATAATGACCCTTTTAAAGGACCACTCTTGGCACCCAGACCACTTCAGCTTAATGAAGTGGTCTGGGTGCCAGGTCCCTCTAGGGTTAACCCTTTTTTTTTTTTTTTTAATAAACATAGCAGTTTCAGAGAAACTGCTATGTTTATAAATGGGTTAATCCATCCTCAAAATTCTCTAGTGGCTGTCTCATTGACAGCCGCTAGAGGCGCTTGCGTGATTCTCACTGTGAAAAATCACAGTGAGAACACACAAGCGTCCATAGGAAAGCATTGTAAATGCTTTCCTATGAGACCGGCTGAATGCGTGCGCAGCTCTTGCCGCGCGTGCGCAGCTCTTGCCGCGCGCAGCTCTTGCCGCGCGTGCGCAGCTCTTGCCGCGCATGCAAATTCAGCTGAATGGGAGGAGAGCTCCCCGCCCGGCGCTGGATAAAGAGGTAAGTTTAACCCCTTCCTCCCCCCTAGAGCCTGGCGGGAGGGGGGACCCTGAGGGCGGGGGCACCCTCAGGGCACTATAGTGCCAGGAAAACAAGTATGTTTTCCTGGCACTATAGTGGTCCTTTAATGCATACTTAACATTTCAGGAGTGTATCTACTTAACCAGTGGTTACCAATACAGTCCTCAAATACAGTCCAGGATTTAGGGATTATCCCTAAGTAATCCCTAAATTCTGTACTGGTAAGGGTTACTTGGGTTGTGATCCCCTGTATTAAACAGTAATTATACATATATATTTTTGTATTTAGACAGTGGAGTGTCTCTTTAAATAAAGAATGTTAAATTGAGAGACAACAGTTCCATTAATCCATTCTTAGACAGCTAGCATGGAGCACAGCATAGGAGTTGATGAGCTAAGCACAGGATGACAACCATTGCAATAAATGTGTTTTCATTTATAGGTTTTTCCATCAGCAACATGACTGTGTTATAGCTCTGCCCAGCCCCCCCCCCACCCCACCACTAAGACATACTCAACTGTACTAGGACACACCTACCACTCGCAGCCAAAGTGCATCACAAGGCTGAAGGGATTGCTCTTCATAAGCTAAAGTGAACTAGAACTACAATAAAAACATTATTTTCTGGATGATCGATTTCCCACCTCAAGGTGTATGGCACACACTCTCGCTCTCACACCAACACATTCAAAATGTCTCTATGTCTAATCTACAGTATGATCCCCATCACTCTCAGCCACAGTCTACATGGACATGTTAGGACTGGGTTAAGACATAAGTAAACTACAAATTTCAATACAAGTGCAATATTATATGGAGTGGCACAGACAACACCACCCACTCTCCAACTTCTGTATAAGCACAGTACAACTCCCACCACTCTCAGCCACGGTCTACATGGAGTTGATCGAATTGGGTTAAGACCAAAGTTAACTAGAATTTCATTAACCAATATTACTAGGTGTGGCACAGACAACAACCCCCCCCCAATAAGTACAGGATAACTCCCATCACTCTCAGCCCTAGTGTAGCCCAGCGTGCTGGGAGTTGCAGTCTAACATGGAAAGTTTCAGTGTTGTTGCTGTAGGAGATAGGGCTCCCTTGATGTGAATATGGGGGTCTCTAACAGGCAGAGACCCCCCGGCAGACATGTTTAACTAGTGCAGACCCCCATGGAGGGATAGTGCGGGTTACAGACAGGGGGGTCCTCACAGGGCCCTGACACAGCCTTCCCACAACTCAATATAAAACCTCCACACACCCCCTCTCCGGTAACTCACCCCCTTCCCGGGTCAGCAACCGCTTCTCTCTCTCCAGCTACCGCCTGCTTCAGGCCCCGGGAGTAGGCGGGGCCGCTGGCGCTGGGAGAATACAATTCAAGCCTCCGATTGGCTCCCCGCCGAACACGTGACCTCCCCCAGCCTGGGCAAGGCAAACTCAAACCGGCGCCAACCGCCGATCAGAGAGCGAAGTCACGTGGTGCGCCGAGTGGGCGGTGCCAAATAACAGGAATTTGTGAGGCAGAGGTTTGCCATGTTCTTTTCTTTTTTTTTAAATAAACTTTATTCAGCATTACATAAATCTATTTTTTTGGAGGGGGAGTGGTGGGATTGCTGAGCTGGAAAAATTAAACTACTTCATTAGAATCACCATGGACACCCAGACAACTTCATCTCATTGCAGTGGTCTGGGTGCACTGTCTCCCCTTACTCCTGTAATGTAAAACATTGCAGATTTAGAGAAACTACCATGTTTATATTGGAGTATTAAAGGGACACTGTAGGCACCCACACCACGTCAGCTAATTGAATTGGTCTGGGTGATGTGACCCTTTTGCACTTAGTGCTGCAATGTAAAAAATAATGTTTACATTGTAGCTCTAAGTCTGCCCTCTGAGGGCCCTAGAGGGCTTCCGGAAACCAATCGGACTTTTTGTCTGTTATCTGATGCTTTGACATCCTCACAGACCTCCAGCGTAAACATTTTCCCCACAGGAAAGCATTAATTAATGCTTCCTATGCGGAGGTCTAATGCACGCGCGGCCATTGTCAAGCACGAGCAGTAGGTCTCCCTTGCCAACGTCAGGAGCATGGGCGGAGCCTGACCCAGCGCCGAGGGACATCGGTGCTGGATTCAGGTTAGTGGCTAAAGGGTTTTAACCCTTTCAGCTCCAAGGGAGGGGGGGACCTGTTAACCCAATAGTGCCTGATAAACGGGTTTGTTTTCCTGGCACTATAGGATCCCTTTAAGACTGCCTCCAGTGGCTCTCTACCAGACTTAGTGAAATGATAAAGAGAAAAAAACCATAGAGAAGCAATGAGTCAATGCTTTCCTCTGGAGAATGCCTAATGCGTGTGCGGTACTTACTGCGCATGCACATTAGGTTTCTCTCCATTGGCTGACGGAGGAGGAGGCGGCGCGCATCCCAGGACATCAGAACTTGACTTGGGGGGAGGGTGGGGCAGATAAACACGTGTGCATTAGTGTTAGGAATACATATTTGTATTCCTTACACTAAAGTGTTTCTTAAAAGAACATTATTGGGTCAGGAACACAAACATGTATTCTTGATCCTATAGTGTTAAAATCACCATTTAAGTTCGCTGGCCCCTCTTGCCCCCTTAGAAAGGGGAGCACATTGGATTTGCTGAGCTCACCAAGGAGATAGGTGCAGGGCCAATTTCTGCACTAGCCTATCAGCTCTCAGGTTACCTTATGTATCAGTCAGGAGCATGTCACAGGCTGGCATCTCATTGCAGGGTACTGGGGACACTCCTACTAACTTTCAGCTTGTCCCTAGCGATTCTCATGCCAGCCGCGATAAACCCGCCTCCTTTTATGACGCGGCTAATGAGCGCCAACGTCAAAACGCTAAGAACACCACGGCCCGCCAAGGTGTTCGAACGAGAAAATTTGGAGGGCATGGCTACCTACCTAAGTGAACACGGTATTTAAAGAGAAACCAGGAAGAGACTCACTGCCCTGTTGCGGTTCTTGTTTGACCCAAGAGCGCGTATCTCGTATTGGTATTCTTGTATTCTGACTTTGGCTTCGTTTGACTATTCCTCCTTCTGTGTTCCTTTGACCTCGGCTATTGCATTATCGTTGATCCTGATTTCTGGTACCCCTGACCTCGGCTCGCTATTTGACTATTCTTTGTGTGTGTAGTGTTAGTCCAGCCATCCTAAGGTCCGGTATACATTAGTAGTATTTGCATTTTGCGTGTAGGATCCCCGAACGTTCCTGACATCAGCATCCAGGGGCAGATCCAGAGCCTGATCTTGAGAGAGGCACTGGTAGGTTATTTCAAGAAATAATACAGGTACAATAAGTTATTTGTAGTGGTTATGGTGTCAGGAGTGACGTGGCACACTCCCAGAGTAAGTAGTTAGGCCATTTAAGAACAGTTTGACAACTTACCTGGGGTCTGCCGGGATATGGGGCTGTAGTAGGGGATAGGAGCAGTGATATGTGTGTGTGAGGGGTGCAATGTGTGTAAGAAGTAAAGTGTGTGGGTGTACGGGGTGGCAGGGTGTGTATGGGGTGACGTGTGAATTAGGGGGGTGCAGTGTGTGTGTGTGTGTGGAGGGAGTGTGTATGTAAAGGGTGGCAGTGTGTGTGTGAGGGAGGTAGTGTGTATATAGGGGGATGTTTGTTAGTGGGATGGCAGTGTGTGGGGGGGTGCAATGTGTGTGTGAAGGGGGCAGTGTGTGTGTGAGGGAGGAAGGCTGTGTGTATGAGGTGGCAGTGTGTGTATGTGGGGGCAGTGTGTGTGTGTGTGAGGTGGCAGTGTGTGTGATGGGTGTAGAGTGTGAGGGGTGCAGTGTGTGTATGGGTGTGGAGTGAGTGAGTGGTGCAGAGTGTGCATGTGTGGGGCAGTGCGTGAGGTGTGCAGTGTGTGTGTCGGGAAAGTGTGTGTGTGGGGAGTGCAGTGTGTAAGTGTATGGGGGGCAGTGTGTGTATGAGGTTAGAAGTGTGTGTGTATGGGGCAGTGTATGGGCAGTCTGTGTGTGTGAGGAGTGCAGTGTGGGTGTGACGGGCAGTGTGTGTGTATGGGGGCATTGTGTGGGCAGTGTGTGTGTGAGGGGGCAGTGTATGTGTATGGGTTTTGGTGTGTGAATGTGTAGGGATTTATTTTTGTGGTAGGTGGGGGTATAGGGCATATTAAAGCAAATATAACTACGTTTTTTTTAAATTAAAATAAATATATTGTATATCCCCTCCTCCCGTCTTACCTGTGGCCAGGGAAAAGGGGACATTGCTTTCCATCCATTTGTATGTTCCAGTGTGTATGAATCTGACACACAGATACACACACACGGGCAGATAGTGGCACACAGATACACACACTGACACAGATACACACACCTTGACACACTATGTGTGTGTGTGTGTATGTGTGTGTATCTGTGTGTCAAGGTGTGTGTAGCTATGTTTCAAAGTGTGTAGATCTGTGTTTGTATGCGCCAGTGTGCGTATCTCTGTGTCAGAGTGTATCTGTGTGTGTGTGTGTGTGTATATGTATCTGACACACAGATACACACACACTCACTGGCACATAGTGGCACACAGATACACACTGACATACACCTTGACATACACACACACACATACAAACACACTGATATACACTTGCACATACACACACACTTAGATACACACAGTGACACATACACAAACCTTGACACACAGATACGCACACTGACATACTCAGACACATACTCTTTGACAGACACGCATACACTCTCACTGACAAACACACATACTCTTTGACAGACAAACATACACTCTCACTGACAAACACACATACTCTTTTACAGACACACATACAAACACATATGCACTCACTGACAAGAACAGATACATTCTCTCTGACAAACACATACACTCTCACACACTCACTGACAAGCACACATTCACTCTCACTGACCAACACACATATACTCTTTGGCAAACACACAAACACATACAAACTCCCTAACAGACACACATACAATTTTTTTTTTCAGAGAAAAGGCCTCCAAGTGGCCACGCTCTTCATAGAGACTGTGAATTTTCCTCATAGAGATGATTCAATGCATCTCTATGAGGAGGTCTTGATTGGCCAAAACGGTGTCCCGCCCCCTTACCAATTTTAGCCGATCCCATGGGAAGGCATTGGATTTGCTAAAAATCGTCAATTCTGCTGATGTCACCAAGTGGACGGGGCCAGTGCCGGCGGACCCGTGCGGCGCTGGAAATAAGGTGAGTTTTAATTAACTTTTAAGGAGTTAATGGGGGGGGCAAGCACTATAGGCTCAGGAATACATGGTTGTGTTTCTGACCCTATAGTGTTCCTTTAAATCATCTAATCATAGCAAACATATTTAAATTTTTTCTCTATACCTTTTACGGAGAAGTACTTCTGCAGGTCTAAAAAGAATTTCTAAGTACCCCTGCCTCGAGAAAGTTATTTCTATTGATTTAAATTTCAAATGAAACGTGTAGACACTGATATTTAAGGGAACACTACAGTGTCAGGAATAAAAACATGTATTTTGACATTTTAGGTGACTGGTCCTGCTCGGATCACTCTGAAGAGGTGAATTTATTCATGTTTCTTCTTACGCCATGCCGGTCTTGTCGCAGCTCCCTGCATGGCTTCGCCTCCATGGCTGACAACATCAGTCCAGATTTGACACACACTGACAGCCATACACATTCCTTGACAGACACATTCTCACTGACAGGCACACATCAAGTTGCACATTGATACACACTTTTACACCCAGAGGACACTGACACACACATAAGAAAATCACACACACACATTTAAACAGAGAGGAAACTGACACACACTTACATACAGAGGACATTGACACCCCTTAATTGACAGACACACTCATTAATTTGACACACACACATTCAGTGTTAGACACACACACTCACTGACAGACACATTCACTAAGTTGACACACACTGACAGGCACTCTCTTTGACACAAACTATCACTGATTTGACAAACACTGACAGACACATTCACTGATACACACTCTCACTGATTAGACATACATCAATAGTCACGCTGAAAGACACACACTTGTGTAATCTTTGTGCTCTTCCAGCTCTGCTCCCTCACATGCTGCCTAGTGATGCAGGGGACGGAGACATCATAACCCAGCTCCTGGCATCATTGCAGGGCGTGCAAGGGAGCAGTGATGGAAGATCATGAATATTATAGCTTCCTCGCCACTTCTGCCTCGATTCTCCAACCGGACACTGCATTTGGGCAGACTAGGTACCTGCCATCCAAGTAAGCACACAGCCGGCTGCCTCCTGGGGGTGTTAAAGTGGTTGTGATACCGGAGAAACTGACGGAAGCAAAGCACAGAGGGATGGACACAGGTTTCTTCAGGAAGGAAGAGATTCTTTATTGGATCACCGATCGGGACTCAGAGGGACTAATGTCACCAAAAATACAGCAAGTTCTGAGCCCTGAACAATAGTGCAGGCTCCCTATATAGGCACATAACTCCTCCCATACTAAGCTCCACCCGCACATTCTCTTGACCAATCATTACAAATAAGAATTAACTTCCTGCTTGACCGCATGGCTTGTCCAGCACAATGGAGGAGGGGAATACTACATCCTGTATTCTTGCACATGCTCCGTACACTACTGATCGTATCTTGCCTCGTGCAACCAACTGATCGATACGTCAGCATATGCACGTACACATGCCACGTGGTAATCTCGGCCTACTAAATTTATTTTTACCGAGATTCCACCACATTCCCCCCTTTGATGCCTCTTGATATTTTACAATTACTTGAGGCATCACTTAACCTTGGTTTGCATACACCACAAGTTACCTTTGAACCAGACCAGACTTATCCTATGATGTGAATCTTCAACACTCGTCTTCCTGCATTGGTTCTCCCTGATCTAGAGCCTTATATTTATAAATTGCCATTATCTGTGCAGCAGCCTTCCTCTCTGCTATATTTTCTATCAGGCTTTGCACAGACCTAACTACTAAGGGTATAAGACACGGCAGGAGTAGACACAACATTAAAATCAGTAGGACTCCACCTACCACTGCCTTAAGCCCTCCAAACCACTCATACCAGCTACCAAACCAACTACTTGGATTGTACCCTTTCCATACCTGAGTAGGCACATGCGCTAGTTTAACCATATGGCTAGTAAGCTCAGCTATTGCTTGCCCTTCGTCATCTATTTGAAGACAGCAATTGCTCAGGTTAAACTTCCCACATACACCTCCCTCTACTGCCAAAAGATAATCCAAGGCTAATCTATTTTGGTAAACTGCTGTCCTCATCCTGGTATTATGCTTCGCTAGAAGATTGAGCGCTTGTGATGTCTCGTTAGTAATGATCTCAACCACCGCCTGTAACCTTATAATGCGGTTGAGCATATAAATAGGGGTTCTATAACCAAAGGTACCATCCTCTGCCCACGTGGCTGGCCCATAATAATCTATAATACGCTGGGGAGGCCATTCATTATCTTCCCAGGCACCTATCTCTATGGGTCCCCTTTTCTTCCTATGATTCACATCATACACTTTAACACCTAAAGTCTCACCTGTTTCAATAGGCAACAAGAAGAAGGATGGTTTTAACATACCCAACACACATGCCCCTTCCCAGTCCTGTGGTAACTCCGAATAGGCCTTCTTACCACAGATCCAGTACAAATTCGCTGGGGCTCTCCAGTTAGATGTGATGGATAGATCAAACCATACGTCCTTTAAATTGGCATATCTTGCAAACGGGTTAGATGGTTCTGAGATATTTGAAGCCGACCACCAAGTTGTATTCTTTGTATCATCATCATAAGCTTTTTGCCCTAGACAAGTTAATTCTCCTACAGAAGTATTATGCATTATTCCTTTCCTCGCTATGCAAACATAACCTATGATGGAGGTCTTCAATCTCCACTCAGATTTACCTCTAACACTCATATGATAGTCGGCTTGTGTAGATATTAATTGGTCAACTGCCTCAGAACCGGACATTACCTCCTTTGCTTTCCAAGGCCATTGGTCTCCCATGTTAGTACCTCCACACACATAGCAGTTGGTAACATTAAGACTACCGGCAATACTCTCGGCTAAATCAATGAACAAGTTTTTAGCATTATGGGGGATCTTATTATCTATGCTCATCTCTTCATAAAAGGAATGGTATACTTGATGAGTTTGGGAGGTTACCGTATCAGTCTCTATCCCTATAAACAATATTGTCCCAGGGTCTAAACCCGTCCCATATATTTGAAACCCAAATAAATTACCATATTTATCTAAGAACTTGTCAGGGTTATTTATAAGTATATGGATTGGATTGCATTCCATAGACTTACAATATGGATCAGTAGGCAACTTAGTCACAATCATGTCCTTGTCTGCTGTCTGTCCCCAAGTCGCCCACCCCACACAAGACCAATATGGGCAGAAGTTATAATCTCTATTTGGGCATCTTGGACTTACATATTTATTTTTACTACTGGGACAAATATATTTATCGTTAGACCCATACGTCCTCTCCCATCTAAGATCCCCACATACATTCCACGGCTTTCTACCACTTGATATTGCTTTACACGCATCAAATAGCAGAGCACCTGAAGAATATACGGATTTTAATACCGTCTTATTAATTAGGGTCCCCTGAGAATCTCCATTTCTGAGAGTCAACCAAATTGTACGGGGTTGATACTCAGGACTGAAGCACTTAGGTTCTCCTACTCCTAAATGACACACACTATATTCTATATTTAAGTATCTACATCTTGATACATCTCCTTTACACTCATATTGCGAATGCCAAATTAGGGTCTGGGATATATGGTTACCTGTTCTTGTAGTCTTAATGCATACCTCACAGCTAGGAGTGTTGGTACCTCTACCTTCCTGAATATAAAAATACACATAAATAAACATTATTAAAAATACATCTTTCGTCGTCATCCTCAGTCTTCGTCCGTGTGAAGGCACCTCAGCTTCCAGGATGTAAGGACTGCAGGGAATGGAGTTCTGCTCGTCTTCACAGGGGTCCCCTCAAGACTTTCCCTGACTTATACACTCGTTGGTGAGTGGACAGGCTTTATTATGGCCTTCTCACTCACTTACCAAGTCTCTGAAACAATAAAATTTATAATCCACAAGGTTCCTCGTCACTCCGACTGAGTCGTGCGTTTTAACCGGATCTTGCAGGGATTCTCTGGATTTGCTGTAACTTGCCAGGAATCGGCTGCTGCTGGTTTAACCCTGGAGTGATGTATCCACGGAGCCACTTCGGCTACTTTTATCGCTGTAGGGGTAGACAGAAGAACAACATAAGGACCTCTCCACTTGGGCCCTAACGGCACATTATTCCACTCTTTAATCCACACTTGGTCGCCTGGGTGGTAACTATGAATTGGGGGATAAATATTCACAGGTAATCTATCTTGTACCCATTTCTGTACCTCCTCCATAGTCTTACCCAACTCTACAACCTGCTGCCGGGTAATTCCTTCTCCCAACTGACTCAAATCCCCCCTTAAGTTACCAAGCACGGGAGGTGGTCGCCCGTACATGATTTCAAAAGGAGAGAGGCCCATCCTTCTGGTAGGTGTACTACGGATTAGCAATAGAGCTATGGGCAAGAGAACGTTCCACTTAAGTTGGGTTTCCTGACACATTTTAGCCAACTGATTCTTAATAGTTCTATTCATTCTCTCTACCTTACCAGAACTCTGGGGTCTATATGCCGTATGAAGCCTCCACTTTATACCAAGCATATGAGTCAATTGTTGTAGGCACTGATGAACAAAGCTGGACCATTGTCCGATCCTATAGAGCAGGGTAGTCCATATCGGGGTATTATTTCTCGTAGCAGGAATCTCACGACTTCTCCTGCTTTCTCTGTACGAGTAGGACATGCTTCCACCCAGCCTGAATAGGTGCACACCACTACCAGCAGGTAGCGATGTCCACCCGATTTAGGCATCACTGTATAGTCAATTTGTAAATCGGACATGGGAAGTCCCCCCATAAACTGGACTCCTGGTGGCTTTACTGGTGCTTGTCTTGCATTATTTTTAGCACACGTTACACATCTACGTACAATGGCCTGAGTCAAGTTGGACAATCTTGGTATGTAGAAATGTTTTCTGAGAGATTCTTCTGTACTGTCTCTCACAGAATGTGTCCCGTTATGATAGTTTTGGACAATTTCTACCGCTAGTGATGCTGGAATAACTATTCTTCCATCTTCTAACTGATACCATTTGTTCTCCAAATACTTTTCAGGTTCAGTCCTTAACCACTCCTCTTCTTGAGCTGTATAAATTGGAGTCCATTGAGACAGTGGAGTTGGTATAAGAGCAGCTATATGCCCCACATATTCCTGTCTTCCTGATTCAGCAGCACGCTTAGCTGCACTATCTGCCATCCGATTTCCTTTGGTTACATCACCATCTCCTCTCAGATGCGCCCGACAATGTATAATACCGACTTCTTTCGGCTCCCACACTGCTTCCAATAGTTGTAGGATCTCAGCTGCGTATTTGATTTCTTTGCCTTCTGAATTCAATAGTCCTCTTTCTTTATACAAAGCTCCGTGGGCATGAGTGGTTAAAAACGCATGCTTGGAGTCCGTGTAGATGTTCACTCTTAAACCTTCAGCCAATTGTAACGCTCGTGTCAGTGCTATCAATTCTGCCTTTTGTGCTGATGTTCCTTTTGCCAGTGGCCGAGCTTCTATCACCTTGTCTATC